ATCTATCTACATCTTTAGTTTACCAAGTACGATCCTCCACCACTCTTAAATCACTTCCAGTAACCTCCTGATAATCTCATTAGTTCCTGAGTTGTCCTTCACTCATCCTGTATCATCATTAATGCCCTTTGAAGATCCATTGATCTTTACCAATTATCCATGAATTCTCCACAACTTTTAAACCTTTGCTTCACTGCTTTATTTTATATTTACTATGTATAACCCTTTAATAATATTGTATAGTGCTAATAAATATTTTATGTTGGTGCATATTAAATAAATGTTAACAACAATAATCATTTCTACTATTTATAAAATTGTGTTTATATCGGGTAGCAGCAAAGCAAAACAAAGCTCAATATGATTTTCACCAGCAAATACATATGCGTTGTATCACATTTGAGATCTACGTTACTTAATGAGGTAAAAATCATATTAGCTGAAAATATCATGCAAACGATTATTTGCATAATTGCCATAGTGTGCCTATGAGATTCCTAAATTACAAATGCTATATAATGTGCTATTAATTTTATGATGCACCTAATATTGAAACAATCAACTGCAGTAAATTAAAACGAAATCTGGCTAATACATTGCACACTCAAAATTGAAATGCTCCGAACAGATGTTTATTTCTGGTGATATACGTATGATATTACCAGTAAATGTTTAGTAAATCTTTTAATCAATAGAACAATGTTTATAAGATGAAAGGAAAAAACATTCTTATATACACACAAAAGGGAGATACTGAACATTATTCCAAACCCGGGAGAGAAAATGTACCCTGCCCAAGTCCCAGAAAACCATCACTTAAGTTTAAACAAGACAACTAATGAAATTTGTGAGTCCTTATTAGAGTTGATCCACTCAGGATTTGCTTTCTCTTATATGTACATCAAAAACAGTCCATGTATATTATATATGACTCCCAAGTTGGGGGAGGGGCTTCAACAGATTTCAGGTGGGACATCTAAGATAGCTGCAGTTCTAGGAACAGCAGAACCCTCAAACTCCCAGGCCTCTGGTAGAGGACCCGAGAATGAGGAATAAACATACCACCCAGGAGGGGTGAGAAAATCAATTTTTAAAAACTATATATACATATCATACAAGCTTTCGGGAAAACCTCCCTTTCTCAAGTCTAAAGCATTTCTGAGCAAGACGACACATAGAATTCAAAGATGATTTGTCACAGACAGGTGCAGTTACCTTCACAGCTCCAGCTTCCACCCCTCCCATACTAAACATGTCATCATCTACATCCAAGCCATTAGATACCATCACAATTGGTCTGATTCTAATGACCGTAATTCCCATCTAAATGTACTCTCCCAATTTATGAGACAGAAAGGCTACAAACCAAAGACTATTACAAAACAAATCAAGTCTGCTGTAAAAACTCCACGCACGCGCCTGCTACAGTACAGAGAGAAAAAAATATCTACACGTGCACCACTTGTGGTCACCTATAACCCAGCTCTTGAGGAAATATGGCAAATTATTAAAGACCTACAACCAATGTTAACAGAAGATGAGACTCTGAAAAACATTTTCTCTGAAACACCCATTTTGGCCTTCAGACAGGGCCAGATTAACATAGGGGCTGAGGGAGCTGCAGCTCAAGGCCTATGCCTATAGAATAGGCCAATTGATTTAAAAAAAATAAAAAATAATAATTATATATATATATATATATATATATATATATATACACACATACACATATATATACATGAAGTACTTGCACTCAGACTCAAAAAGATTACATACCGGGTGCTTGTAGTCCTAGGGGAAAGTCAGACACCCACATAGCAACAGGTGACCAGCACTCACGAATTCATGAAAAAGTTTAACTTTTTCATGAATCCGTGAGTGCTGGTCACCTGTTGCTATGTGGATATATATATATATATATATATATATATATATATACACACACACACACACACACACACACACACATTTTACTTCTCTTCAAATGATCTTTCCTAAATATAGAAACTTTAGAGGGATGCAGGGGAACAGAACTAGTGTTGACTGGCTGACAATGAAATTAGTTAACGTAAAACTGACTTTGTGCAGTACGGGTATTCTCTATCTCTCCAACACTGTGGCATGTTCCCTTTCTTCTACACTCACTACATACACTTTTTCTCTGTTTCAGACTGTTAAACCGGAGCTGCTACCTGCTATTATTATTATTACTGGTTTAAAGTGCTAAGAGATTCTGTATAGTGATGTACCGAACGGTTCGCCGGCGAACGGTTCCCGGCGAACATAGCATGTTCGCGTTCGCCACGGTGGGCGAACATATGCGCGGTTCGACCCGCCCCCTATTCGTCATCATTGAGTAAACTTTGACCCTGTACCTCACAGTCAGCAGACACATTCCAGCCAATTAGCAGCACAGCCTCCCTAGCAGACCCTCCCACCTACTGGACAGCATCCATTTTAGATTCATTCTCAAGCTGTATGCTTAGTAAGAGGAGGGAAAGTGTAGCTGCTGTTCATAAGATAGGGAAAAGCATAGCTAGGTTAGGGATAAGGGTATGCTTTTTTTGGATTTTTTTTTTCTATCTAATGTAAATGCACTTAGTTGTCTGCCAATGCTGCCAGCTTCTGTGTCAGGCTCACAGTGCCCATTTCCCCAGTCAGTGCCACCAATTACATCTGGTGTCACAATAGCTTGGATTTAAAAACAAAAAACTTTTTTCACCGTTATAGATTGAATAGCAGTCAGTTGTCTGCCACTGCTGCCAGCTTCTGTGTCAGGCTCACAGTGCATACTGTGCCCATTTCCCCAGTCAGTGCCACCAATTACATCTGGTGTCACAATAGCTTGGATTTAAAAACAAAAAACTTTTTTCACTGTTATAGATTGAATAGCAGTCAGTTGTCTGCCACTGTTGCCAGCTTCTGTGTCAGGCTCACAGTGCATACTGTGCCCATTTCCCCAGTCAGTGCCACTAATTAGATCTGGTGTCACAATAGTTTGGATTTAAAAAAAAAATAATCTTTTTTCACTGTTATAGATTGAATAGCAGTCAGTGTCCTTAAAGCGGTGTGTTACGCTAACAGTGGATACGCTGACCAGTGCCACTAATTAGATCTGGTGTCACAATAGCTTGGATTTAAAAAAAAAATAATCTTTTTTCACTGTTATAGATTGAATAGCAGTCAGTGTCCTTAAAGCGGGTGTGTTACGCTAACAGTGGATACGCTGACCAGTGCCACCAATTAGATCTGGTGTCACAATAGCTTGGATTTTAAAAACAAAACACTTTTTTCACTGTTATAGATTGAATAGCAGTCAGTGTCCTTAAAGCGGGTGTGTTACGCTAACAGTGGATACGGTGACCAGTGCCACCAATTAGATCTGGTGTCACAATAGCTTGGATTTAAAAACAAAACACTCTTTTCACTGTTATAGATTGAATAGCAGTCATTGTCCTTAAAGCGGGTGTGTTACGCCAACAGTGGATACGGTGACCAGTGCCACCAATTAGATCTGGTGTCACAATAGCTTGGATTTAAAAACAAAACACTTTTTTCACTGTTATAGATTGAATAGCAGTCAGTGTCCTTAAAGCGGGTGTGTTACGCTAACAGTGGATACGCTGACAAGTGCCACTAATTAGATCCTGTGTCACAATAGTTTGGATTTAAAAAAAATAATAATCTTTTTCACTGTTATAGATTGAATAGCAGTCAGTGTCCTTAAAGCTGGTGTGTTACGCTAACAGTGGATACGGTGCCCAGTGCCACCACTCACTGGTGTCTTAATAGCCTGGATTTAAAAACAAAAAACTTTTTTCACTGTTATAGATTGAATAGCAGTCAGTGTCCTTAAAGCGGGTGTGTTACGCTAACAGTGGATACGGTGACCAGTGCCACCAATTAGATCTGGTGTCACAATAGCTTGGATTTAAAAAAAAAAACACTTTTTTCACTGTTATAGATTGAATAACAGTTAGTGTCCTTAAAGCGGGTGTGTTACGCTAACAGTGGATACGCTGACCAGTGCCACCAATTAGATCTGGTGACACAAAGCTTGGATTTAAAAAAACAAAACACTTTTTTCACTGTTATAGATTGAATAGCAGTTAGTTATCTTCAAGCTGGTGTCAGGCCTACAGCCTGTGCTCTGCACAACTGTGCCAGTGCACATTGCCACTCATATCTGGTCTCACAGTAGCTTGCACGCATAGTACCACTAATCCCAACAAAATGACAGGCAGAGGCAGGCCACCCCGCAGGGGCCATCGTGGTCGTGGTGCTGTGATTCCCTTTGGCCCTAGAATAATGCCCAGTTTTCAGAGGCCACGTACCCTGAACTTGAAAAGTTCTGAGGACATAGTTGACTGGCTAACACAGGACACCCAATCTTCTACAGCCTCCGCTCAGAACCTTGACGCATCATCCTCCTCCAGCTTAGCTTCAGGCACCTCTCAAGATACCACTCACCCGCCTGCCGCCACTACCAAAACTAGCACCACAGCCGCTTCAGTTGGTATGTCAGAGGAGTTATTCACACATCCGTTTGAAGAAATGAGTGATGCGCAACCATTATTGCCAGAGGATGTAGATAACAGGGATATGTCTCAGGCAGGCAGCATTACACACATGGACGCACGGTGTGATGATGATGATGATGTTATACCCGCTGCTGCTTCCTTTGCTGAGTTGTCAGATACAAGTGAAGCGGTTGATGATGACGATGCGTCCATGGATGTCACGTGTGTGCCCGCTCGTCAAGAAGAAGAACAGGGCGAAAGTTCAG